TCTCTTTCATGATGATGCATTTCGAGTTCCGGGAATAAAGTCTATGGAGGACCTGCGACGCTTGTGGGTGGAGGATGGCCGCCAGCAGATGGAGGTCCCATTGAAACGGGACAAGGCTAAACATTATGTATTCTGCAAGGTCAAAAGCGTCCGCGGCAAGATTCAGATACATCGCGATCAGCCTATCTCCCAAAGTACCCTATCTCGACAGCTCAAGACCTTTGGGGAGATCGCCGGCTTTAAGTGGTCATTGTTCACGCATCGGTTCCGGTACGGTGGCGGCACCATTCTAAATGAAAGCGGTAAGTTATGGAATATGCCATCTTGTCCGTCCTTCCGTCATGCATTACTGATTCAGAGCGGTTGGGACTGCTAGGTCTTGTTAGCGACGCCAAACAGAACTTGATCATGAAGCACGCGGACATCCGAACGTTCCTGAATCATTACCTTCCTCGGCGAATCAACACTGATATGCAGGCGTTGATGAGAGGACTCAAACCAGATTCGGCCATGATGAGGGCAGTCACTAGGATGGGACGATGGATTGACCCACGTCGGCCCCGAGAGCTCACTGATGCGCAGAAGGCCACGGTGGAGCACGATCCAGAGCTGCAGAAGGCTATTCGGAAGCGGGATGCGTTCTCCAAAAAGCTTCAGCGCAGTCAGAAAAAGACTAGCTGGAAGCTCGATAAGCTTGACAAACTGAAACGGGGAGTCACAAACACGCGGAATCGACTGCTGTATGCGCTCCGCCAACGTGTACGAGAGGAATTTGATGAGGAGCAGGCGGTCCTTGATATTGAGCGGCAACTGGCGGGCACTGCTATTCTAGACGAAGAGGCTAAGGAGCAGCTCCAAATTGAAGAGCAACTCCAAATTGAAGAGCAACTCCTTCCGCAGCAGATTCACCTGCTGGGTAAACTCATGACTTGGCCTACCTCCTTGTCAGTGGAAGCAGAGTGGCAGCGGCGAAATGAGGCTACCGAAGCAGTTCGACTCTATTGTGATGTCCTGGAAGGTGGCCCGCGACGAGGTCGACGGCCCAAACGGACCGTTCCGGTGAAAGAACCCCAAAAGCATAGCCTCCCCAGAGAAGAAGTTATTGCGCCAACCGAATCCCCTCCTCTTACCCCGTCACCCTCACGGCATGAAATTGCCTTGCAGGAGGCTGGCGAAGACATCCGAACTGCCGCGAAGCCCCGAGCGTGCTTTCAGTGCTATGGAAACCCCGCAGGATGTGACAATCGGCGTCTCAAGCAGTACTCCCGCCACACGGGTCTGTTACGACACTTCCGAGCCGTGCATCTGGACGATCGTCACTGTAACTACTGCAATGAGTCCGTGGACAACGATATGTGTTGGCGGAGACACACCGTAGACAAGCATCGCTTGAATGTCAGATACCTTGACTACCCTCAGGATCTTTGAGTATATTAGAGGCAATGCTTTTGTACAGGAGCATATTTACATTAGATAAGCCATGGAGAGGTTAAATGGTTCGTCCAGGTGCGACCGTAGAAATGAAAACCCCATTAAATAATCGCTAGTCCAGATTTCGGCCTGCTTCCCATTTTCACGTCCTCGGTTGACGATTTCTAACGTCTCCCTAGATTGTATCAAGGTATTCTGCTGGGAAGAGAGTATAGAGTATTTCCTACAGCTGGTTGCAATACTGGCGCAAATATTTATACACTTGAATACTTTTGGGCACCCTTATATAAAATATAGTAAGTCACTTTTGTAAATGCTTCTTAAAGCCCTTACTACGGGTTTGTATTTTGCGTTGTACTGGCCGTTCTATGACGCAAAATAATGTATACAGCCTGTAACTCAATATACAAAGTACTTATTATTCTATGTAGATACTTCCCAGTGAATTTATCTCTGTACTAAGGATCGTTAGAAAATTGTTTTGGCATTGCACTGGCATTGCACAAACACGCAAGGAGAGCCCCGTTTTCTTTGTTCGCCAGAGAGTGGCGGTAGGTGCGGCACGCAGATTTGTTAATCATACCAGGCTCTGGCTGAAGGAAAGGGAAAAGGACACTGCTTAATATACATGCACTATTAATACAATACGTGGCCATAAATGTCGCCTGGTAAGGCTGCCAGACTAATGATGTACTTCATTATAAGGCTATTGTCGCATGCTGCCACAAAATGAGCTAGTGTATGTTGGCAGAGCATCATTACATATACTAGATAAGCTCTAATCCTTCATTGGAAGCTAGTATATGTAATCCCAGCTCCATAGTGCTATACCCTACGATTCGGTACGGGTAGTAAAATGAAGAGCATTGAATAAAACCTCATTCTGGACTTGTTATTTGATTTGAGAGATACTTCTGTACCGCGTTCCTTATCCCCGTATTCGTCCTACGTGGATGGGTTGGGTTGCGATGAGAGGCAGAATATCCACGAACCAGCTGTTCCACCTTTGGTGTAACCCGGATATTTAGTAGCACCACTGAGCTTCAGAACATGCGAGATACTTTGGCGTTTTTAAGAAAGAGTAGCTTTTCCCCGCTCAAAGGGTCCTTGAAGTGGCAAGGTGTATACTTCTCGAGCGTAACGCTTTGAAGAGCTATCTTCAACTCCCCTAGAACATCCGCTGCAAAATCTGGTACGTTTCGAAGTTCTTCGGAGAATTTAAAGTCATCGCAGTGTAGGTACGCATCTATTGCTGCTTTAGCAAGTAGCATTCGAACCGAGTGTTCCTTAGGTAAATGACTCGCTGCGTCAACACTCCCAGGAGTGATGTGGTGGACATTTGTATTGGGGTCTCTGACACAACTATTATTGTTTGGGGGAGGATTGGCTAAAATAGTCGATCGGATAAATTCAGTTATCGGCGACTCCATGCTATCAATGCTTAACATGTCTGCGAGTCTTGCGAGTTCAATCATAGCAGATATCCACTCTGCTGGAGATTCTTTGCCAAGAATAACCCGACCAAGGTATAACCACTGGAGAAGCAATTGAAAGCTTCTATTTGAAACAACTCCTTCAACCTCTTCTAGCACTGCTGATTGGTCTTCCCCTTCTTTAAAATTTCCTTTGAACATTGCAGCAAAATACGGCGAGTATTCGCATATAAGCGACTTAGAGACGTCGTATGTTGCGGCTCCGATCTTTATCTTAACTGTAGGGCCATGGTAAAGAGGCATTTGACTAGATAGAGCATATCAGCGATAAACCACAATTAAGATATGGTACATTATCATACATTTTCGTAAAATCTTCATACGACAAATCGAGTAAGCCGCCAGCAGACTCTCCAGCCGACATCGTAGGATACTGCAAGCGAAAGGTTGGTTCAGCAGGCCTCTAGGCAAGTGAATAACGTAGCTGTTTAATCTTAGAAGTGCTTGGATGATGAAGTGAATATTTAAGAGTGGCTTTCGTGAATTCGTCGCCTGGGGAATTGTGCTATCGTCGATTCCTATCTAAGGTGGGGTAAACGGTGTACCACGACTGTCTGGTTGGGGTGGTTTGACTAGTTTTGCATGGAAGTCCCATGGACCCGTATAATATCTAATACAGTAACCTCGCTGACGTAACATGAATGATACCCTTGTCCAATCCCGGTAACTATGGAGGATATCTTCCCTGGAATCTAATTAAAGCGAGGATGAAGGGGACTTGTATATTCTGTCCTAAGAAGGCCATATTATTTGAATGAATCTTGCCCGATAATGTTCTTCTGTGTTCCGGCGTGATCTGCTTGGACATGCGGACTTGCTGCTTAGACCCTCTTGAAGATTGAGAGCTCTGAAGGAAGACCAACCCTCTTAAATCCGTAAATTAAAGCAAGCTGCTTAGATTAAGACAATCCAGCTGATTGCGCGATGATTGTGCGATGATTCCGCGATGATTTAGTTACGCATGGTCTGGACATTGAGATAATCGCACCGTTCTATAAGCCTTGGCATAGACACACGGAACTAGACTCCCATATATTAAGTCACGACCAATCCATTACTAAGGACTACCACTCATTATAGTAAGTAAAAGTTTAACCAAAGTGGGCTGTTCCTGCAGAAGTATCTCGAACTCTCTGTTGTGCAGAAATAATCGGATGTGCCAAGCAGCGTAATGACACACCATTCTAATTAGGTTCTCGCACCGCTCAGTGCCCGCGCGGAGGGCAAAGTCAAACAACCGAACAATATCCCCAGTGCGATCCTGGCATATTGGGAAAGTATGGAGAAGGTGCAACATCTTGAAGAGGCAGATGTCACGCAGCTCCTCTAGTCCATATTTTGCGGCAAAAACATGAAGGCGAGCATGGGTGAGAAGCATTTCGGTATAATCCATCGTAGGACTATAGCTACCCTGCGAACCCTCAGAGGGCCGTGGCTGAATCCGCCGTACAAGGTAGTCCGCGAATTGTTCCACCGTCTCTGTGTCTCGAAAGAGGCATCCTTCGAGTACACGGGCCTGCTCCACCTTTTCTCGTCCACCAAATGTCAGGCCGGGAGGTGGCGTGTCGCCGGGAATCGTAATAGAGTAGTCTCCAGTGTACAAGTACTGACAGACAAGACTAAAGATATGTTTATCCGTGTCCTTGATTATAAAAGATTCATCACCAGCAAAACTACCGCCATCGCTGTCGAACCAGGGCGTCGAGTGTGATTTGAGTATATCACCGTGGATGATAACTTCTTCACAATCAGTGCCGATGGTGAACTTCAGGAGCTTGGACAGAAACACTCTGCACTATTATTAGTGATATCTCACCCAGGAAATTCATTCATCCTTACCGGTTGTTGCATGGAGTCATGATTGGAGCCGAGAGGGGCAAAATTTCCTCCGATGAGGAGTTACACGAAGTTCAGCTGGCTTTATATAATGGATTACCAGTCATTTTGTTCACGGACAAATATCAGCTTCATGAACCACTGAACGCCAAACGTGGATTGATTGGTCGTAGGCCTTGATAGGCTTCTCTCTGAACGAAGATGTGTTAGAAGTCTTAGCCCTATAGCACTAGCGTCTTCAACGCGGGGCTGGTTTCACATTACGCATCCATCTTCTATTGGATAATATCTGACGCCCCACTTCAGCGCTTGGCCCTCAGATAGTCAACGAATTACTCTGAAAATGCTCCGTTTCTAAGAGAGTATACTGTTAAAATATAGATTACCTTATATCAGTTCACCGTATCACCACTCAGCTTCCAGTTCTTACCGTTTAACAGAGAGCTGAACGGACTTTTATTTTATTCAGAAGAAGGAAGCATGCTTATTTAAACGAATACGATATATTTTAGTCCCTTAAACTAAGAATATGTTGGCCTCCAAAAGCTGCTGGCTACTCCAAGCAATCCTTAAGATAACATAATTTCGAAGTATAGGAAAAAGTCGTAGGGAAAAAAGATGAATCCAGTCCTTTGACCGTACTTTCCTGTATAACTATCAAGGAGGGAAAAGATGAGGATCCACACATACGGTAGTGGGAGGGCCACTTTGGCGATTTTATGGCGCGCGCGGTCTCTACCAGTCCCTTATAATTCAGGCCTATGAAGGGAGCTTCAGGTTGTGGACAGAGTAGACCATTTGAGTGCATTTGCTTTGTAAGAGCTCCGAACATGAGGGAACTACACTCAAAGGTGCACCCACGGCTTCCGTCTAGAAAAGCATCTCGTAACTTGGCGAGTGAGGAAAGTATAAGAGTAATTGCATCCTATCTGCGCATGTTCATTTTGTCTAGGCGATTGTTATTATATCCTCCCAGATCAGGATTCCTGGGCCTTACCTATTACTTGTTCTGGAATTGGCAACCCAAGATTTGTTATGCGATTGCTACTCTGTGAGATAGCAAGTAATGTGCATTTTTCAAATTCATATGATTGCCTGAAGACCCATGATACCCATACCCAGAACATCGAGTCGCGGGAATATGTCGTGGGAAGATTAACTCTCAAGCTTTTAATCCATCTGTCTGCGAAATATTGAACTAAAGTTTGGCACTGGTAGTAATCTGCTAGTATAGCAACTTTAGCAAGCAGTTCCAGACTTATATCCCGAGGTAAGTTTTGGGGCCGACAGTGAAAAATATTCATTAAAATTAAGAAAGCATCAAGATCCCAGCCGCTGATAGTAATCTCAACTGCACCTTTCTCAAGTAGATGAAAACCTTCTTTCCAGCCCTCAGTAAGTGCTTCCTGGAACACAGGTGAGGCCAGGATTAAGTGTTTAGCCGATGCTTGGATACGAAAAACCTGCGTTTTCACGTGTTCCTTATTTTAGAATTTAGGTATGGTAAGCTTGGTTTGTTCACTACCATCCTTTTCCCATTTGTTATAAAGGACAATACTGGTACATACCTCTTCAAGTTGCTCTTTGAATATGACAGGTTCCTCAGCAGGAGGCTCTTCAGCAGGAGGCTCTTCAGTAGGCGGCTCCTCGGCAGGCAGTTCCTCATGATCGTTCCAAGGTGCAAAGTGATATTCTGGGCATTGCAGAATTATGTTGACCTCTCCGTCTGGGTCAAATATATGGGTTTCCCGTCTCACCGCGGTACTATCATGTGGAACTAGCAATTTAGAAATATATTAAAATACAAAATTTCAAATCATCAATGTTACCATACATGCACTTACTGATGTTTACATCTAAAGCTTGAGAAGATTTAGTTGATCGTTCATCACTGTCACAGACAGTATGTTCAAATTTGCAGCGATCTGGTACCTCAGTTTGCAGTTCAGTTGAGCTTGGTGTAAACTTTACGTCCAAAAGCACAACGACCCCGTCGGAAGAAGTCGCAGACCAACATTTTAAGATAATGGGTAGATACTGTTCACACTTTCAAGAGAAGATTCAGGATTTAGTTATCCCTTGTAATTCAGAGCTGAGAATTGAAATGAAATGCTGGTCTAGAATGAGGCCAGGTTTAGATTGTTGGGTTTTTTCTCCTTCTGGTGTGACACCGTTGTGATATGGAGATCACCTGACCTTGTTTCTAAGCCTCAAAAATAATACTGCCACGCAGCTACACCTCTGTTGCTTGTTTTGCTATATTAGATTGACAAAGTAGGGCTATGAGACTAAATTAAAACTTGACTGTCCGATATGAGTAAAAGGAGGCTTTGACCTTCAAAAACCTTTCAACTTTACTGATCATTTTTGTTCTCAGCGATCGTTCAGTTAGTAGTGTTCGTGCACACTCTATGTACCAATTAAATTCCAATTTCAAGCTCCCAGTGAGGTGGGGGGAGGAAAATGAGCTTGCGGCACTAAACTTCCATTCCTCCACTATTCCATCAGTGAGAGGCTTAGCCCCGCAGTGGAACCATCAAATCCAGGAATTCATTGTTTAATTATTCCATCTGGTATGAAATGAAATTCAGTGTACCAAGACATCTTGCCGCGGCGGACTCATGTTTGCCTTTAATAGGCTTTACATTTCGTTGGCGAGTCATTGGCTAGGGGATGAAAAGCGCCTGCAGACCTTGTATAATACGACAAGGATAATGTAGTGCACAATCGTTTTCTCCCAGGTTAATCTCCCATGACATGGGTTATGGCCCACCAATTCAGTATTTTCAGCCAACGTAGGGGGAGTGGATGCGGACAAAGGATTTATCCGGTAGATTAATACGTTTGAACGAGTTCCACCCAACTCATTACCTGACAGAAGGGTTATCTCATCACACATCTCTTCGAATCAGTAATCGAACTTGGTTAAACCTCCAGTAAATTATGGCGGTTGATACTAACTATCTTCTGGGCCTGCTGTCAAAGTGATCAATTCCTCAACATCAATGTGTATAAATTGAGCTAATGTACGCTGTTCTTCAAAGCTTACGCGAAACTGGAGAGTTCTCGGATACTGAAATCAAATGCGAGCCTTCAAGCTTCCAACTTCATTGCTGTATTATTTGCCGACAGTCTGCGTTCTTTGACGGGATCATGAAGCATGATTGGAAGGTGAATACCATCACAGCTTATATAAAGTCCGCACTGAATTTTAAGCTTAAATCATGAAAAGGAAACCAGATCACGCGTTGTTACAATCTCCGATGATGCCTTCATCGCCTCCAAAATGTTCGATTATCTTTATCGTGCAGATTACGATGACCATCCCAAAACCCTAAATGACCTATGTGGAAAGGACGAAAATAAATTGGGAGAATCGCCAAAAGTTGATGCTGAGCATCAAGATACCTCTATTAACACTCTTCCATCTCACTGGAGACGTGCACGCATCAATGTTCAAGTTTACGCTATTGCGGAGAAGTATATGATAGATGCATTGAAAGAGGTATCTAGGAAGAAATTGGAGTCTAATATGGAAAAAGAGTGTAATGAGGTCGGCTTCATCAATGTTGTGCAGGATGTGTATGGGCCTGAGTTTCCACGTGGCTCAGAGCTCTGCAATGTTCTAGCACGGTTTGCCCTCCAGCACGTTTCCACTCTCAAAAAGTCTCAACATTTCCAACAAATCCGAAAAGACTACCCACAATTTGAGTATGATTTTTGTACCTTGTTGATGGAGAGTGCCACTAGGGTTGTGGGAGTTTTGGGGAGAGCAAAATCATTACCCTGGTAGGGCCCATCCTCCCCTGAAATATCAGTAATAGTATGGCCAGAATGAGTTTTTCTTTAGTGGAAATGAAATTGTCAATCGCGTGACACCTTCAATATCAAGTTCTTATATATACCGAGTTCCTATTCGCCCTCGTCAAAGTTCTTATTGCAGCAACTGTGCCACGATGCAGATTACCATAGCTGGTGTACAGACTGTAACAAGGGCTTTCCGTCGCGCAAAAGGCTCGAGAACATCGATCGAAGAAACATAGTGGCTTCTAAGGGTGCACTCCAGGTCGTTGTATTTACAATACACAAAGGACGTTGGCCTATCTCCCAGTAAGGAAATTCTTACCTTGACTCTTGTTAAGTAAACTGTTTATCACCAGGGTTAGCTAGTGTCACTGCTTTGCAGAAGAGGGTCCCCTTGGTAAACTGAGCCAAGATTAGTCAATGTATGCAAGTATGTGTTGTTCAAAGGCGACTTGTCCGCGGCCAACATGTGAGTTGTGCTGAAATGAATGCCTTACATGAATCAATTTTTGAATCCATTGCCCTCATCTTGAACCCAACCAGCAACCAAGGCAACAATGGCTTCTATTCGGATCGCAGACATTCATCGCCCAGAACTGACAAATTCTGAGAAAATAGGGTCATCCATCACCACACTTCAGCTTACCCTGGAGGACTAGCGCCATCAGCGTCGCACTGGTTTCAATTTATGCATCTCTGATTGGTTCATAGCTAGCACCCCGCTTCAGCACATCAACACCCCACATGAGCAACTACCCCACTTCAGGGAATTATGTGAAGGCCCATCGTTCCGATGCTTGGTGATGAAGCAGACCACGTAAGACAGGCATTGAGCTTCAGATGACCAACAATCAAGTCTCGGAAGTGGGAAAAAATGAGGAGACCTGTGAATAGGCATTCAGTTACTTCGTGACAGTCATTGATATTACGTGTAGTCCGGTTCTCAAGAACCCGGACCCTCGGAGCATTTTGGCTCTACGGGAGACCTTTTGGAGTGAAGTTTATAGACGCGACCGTTACTGCCTTCCATGTTTTGGAAACATAGTGATGCTTTTTCAAACTCTAGTCACATGAAACGCTAATACCAATATGGCTAATTCCGTATTCAGAAGCTCGTTCTAATTTTGGATGGTAAAAAAGTGTACCCGTATGAAACATAGGGCGCATAGTCAAGTACTGTTACAGTCGACCTGATGCGGATCGTACATCACCGCTCCTCAGGTCCGCCTGCCATATAAAATTAGTACGAGCGCAAGCAGCCCCAGTATCCTGCCCGCATCCTACCCCGCCCGACCCACCCACCATCACTTCATGCATCACGCCTGCAATGCTAGAAGCAATTCATAACCGTCTCGCCGAAAGATCCAGCCTATAAATCCAAGAGGTAACTGTTATTACGGGAAGAGTCAACGTCTTGCCATTATCAACCAGCGTTAGAGGCGCCCAGACCAAGCTGGATAAAACAAAAGACCATCAATACAAGTTGTTTTACACCTATAAACTACCCGGGCTTCGGTTGTATCAACTGGTGTTTTGTCAGCGAATCCGGATCCTCAGAACAATGAGATACAGACGGACTAGCTGGTCACCACTTATCTTAATCCCGATCCAAGCGCCAAGATTTTATTGGGCTTCGTCACCTGTATTGCTCATCCGTACAAGGATTGCAGATTTCATTCGACCCCACGTGACACCAGCGGCGGTAGCCTCGCTCCCTTTCCATGTCAGCCGTAGACGATATGCGCCTGACCTCGTATAAATCTCGAAGACGGCGTCTCGCATTTCGTGCTGGTCATGATATCAAGACCACGACCAAGTTGAAGCCAGTTTAAGCCAGTTTAAGCTGACACCACACCAAGATGGCCCGCCGCCTCAGCCACCATGACTACACGGTCGGGTGGGTATGCGCCTTGCCGGACGAGCTGACTGCCGCTCAGGAGATGCTTGACGAAGAACATCAGAATCTTCCTTCGAACCACACCGATTCAAATATATACACCCTAGGGTCCATAGGAGCCCATAATGTCGTCCTGGCGTGTCTGCCTGCAGGCCAGACCGGTACCAACTCTGCTGTGGCAGTGGCCATGCAGATGAAGACTACGTTTCCGGCCGTTCGATTTGGGCTGATGGTAGGAATTGGGGGCGGCGTTCCAAGCAAAGAAGCAGATATTCGGCTTGGCGACGTTGTTGTCAGCCAGCCGGGCAACGGACATGGCGGGGTAGTGCAATACGACTTTGGAAAGTCAACGCCCAGCGGGTTCAAGCGGACGGGGTTCCTCAATGCTCCGCCCACAATCCTCCTCGCCGCCGTTACGAAGCTTCGATCCAACCTCGACCGAGGGAAAAGTAGTCTGTCGCCACACCTCTCGAAGCTTGGCAACCTCCTCAAGTTCGGCCGTGATCAAGCAGGAAGCGATTTGCTGTTCGAAGCGGAGTACAACCATAGTGGAGAGGATAGCTGTCTATCATGTACGACCGCGAGGACGATACAGAGGAACGAACGGGCGGACAATATACCTATGATTTACTACGGTGCAATCGCGTCGGGGAACCAGGTGATGAGGGACGGAGTCGAACGGGACAAGATTAGCTCAGAATTCGGAGGAGTTCTCTGCTTCGAGATGGAGGCGGCCGGCCTGATGAATACTTTTCCATGCCTGGTGATCCGCGGAATCTGCGACTACGCTGACTCCCACAAGAATAAGAGATGGCAGCCATACGCGGCGGGAACAGCAGCGGCATACGCGAAGGAGTTACTAGGCGTGATACCGGTGGCGGATGTGGTGAACACGCAAACGGTCGATGAAGCACTACGAGGTTAGTCTAGCCGTCATAGCGTGAAATTTAGAGATAGGACTCACACGCTATAGGGGCGAAGCGTACCTTTTACCTCCCGTTCGAACGAAATCACAAGTTTATCGGTCGGAATGCAGAGCTCGACACGCTGAAACAAAAGCTCCTAATAAATAAAGATTGTCAGAGAGTAGCGCTCAGCGGTCTTGGTGGTATCGGTAAGACACAGGTCGCGCTACAATTCGCATATTCAGTTAAGGAGGACTGTCCAGAATACTCTATCTTCTGGGTACAAGCGTTGAGTATGGAGACGTTTGAGCTAAGCTGCAGGGAGATAGCGGGTGCGTTAGGGATACGCCAGGAGCAAGAGGGCGGCGAAGACCTGAAAATCCTAGTGCGGCAACGGCTAAGTGCAAAGACCGCAGGAAAGTGGTTGCTAGTTATCGACAACGCTGACGACCTTGACTTGCTTCGCGGGACCTATCAAACAGAAGGGTTGCTGGCCTTTCTGCCAGAAAGCGATGGTGGCCTGACTATATTTACGACGCGGCATGGAGCTGTAGCGCAGTACTTGACGGGCGGCGATGTGGTTGAGATAGGAAAGATGACGAGACAGGAGACGACGGACTTGTTAGAGAAGTCTTTGGTTCGAAAGAACCCTTCTGACAACTCCGAGACTGTGGTGAATCTTCTGACGGAGCTGGAGTACCTCCCGTTGGCTATCACCCAGGCAGCAGCATATATAAACACTAATAAAAGCTCCATCTCCGAGTATTTGCGCCTATTGAAGAAGACAGAGCAGGATGCTGTCGCACTCATAAGCACGGATTTCGGCGATAAAACGCGATATCGGAACTCGATGAATGCGGTTGCGAAGACGTGGACGATCACCTTTAACAAAATTCTCGAATGCGATACCTTAGCCACAGATCTCCTCGCATTTATATCTTGCATTGAGTGGAGAGCGATCCCATACTCTATTTTACCAGCAGCGTATCCTGAAGCACGGCTGGTAGGAGCGATCGGTACACTCTGCTCCTACTCGTTCCTGGAGAGAAGAGATGATGGAACTAAGCTCGACATGCATAGGCTAGTCCACTTGGCGACGAGGATGTGGGTAAATCAGAAAGGTCGTAAAACAGAAACGACAATAGCTGCATTGAATCACCTGGCGGAAGTCTTTCCATCCGACGATTACACTAATCGGGAGATGTGGCGGGATTACCTACCGCATGTGGCACGGATAGAGAAGGACGAGCAATGCCAAGGTACAGAAGAGAAGAGCAGGCTTTGTCTAAAGGTCGGACAGTGCTTACTCGTTGATGGGCGGATGAAAGAAGCTGTTCTTTGGCTACAGGAGTCTTGCGAATGGAGGGATATAAATCTTCCTCAAAGTAACATTGATCGACTGACATCGCAGCACATGCTCGCTATAGCATATCAAGCAAATGGACAGATCAAGGAGGCAGTTAAACTGCTAGAGCATGTTGTCGCCATACGTACGGAAGTGCTTGCAGAAGATCATCCTGATCGACTGGCGTCGCAGCACGCGCTCGCTATGGCATATCGAGCAAATGGACAGATCAAGGAGGCGGTTAAACTGCTAGAACATGTTGTCGCGATAGAATCGGAAGTGCTCGCAGAAGACCATCCTGATCGACTGGCGTCGCAGCACGAGCTCGCTATAGCATATAAAGCGAATGGACAGATTAACGAGGCGGTCAAACTGCTAGAACATGTTGTCGCCATACGTGCGGAAGTGCTTGCAGAAGACCATCCCTCACGACTGGCGTCGGAGCACGAGCTTGCTGGAGCATATGAAGCGAATGGACAGATCAAGGAGGCAGTCAAACTGCT